GACAAACCCTATAAAGCCCTATAAACCTTACAGCCTAAACCAGCCTACAGCCCACACCAGCCCCGGAAACGCTGGAAAATCCCCTGGTGGCGGGTTTATATAGGGCCAGGGTTTAGGGTTCAGAGTTTAGGTTTTAGGGTTGAACAGGGGTCGAGGGGTTGGGGTTTTAAGGTTCAAGGTTCAGGGGTTCAGGGCTCTCCCTAGCTCCCAGAACTTCCCAAGAGCCCCAAGGGTTATGGTCTCGTGATTGCGGGTTGAGGGTTCAGGGTTCATAAGGCCTGGGGTTTGGGGCTTCAATGATGAGCCAGGTATACCTACAATGCGGTCATTGCCGCTCGTGAGCACGGCAGTGTATGGCAGGAGGCAGTGAGCACGCTGGACCTGCTCCCCACAGAGACACTGGAAGGAGACTTGGTAGCCCCATTGGATAGGGCACCCTTATCATTTTCTGGGGGTTTCGGAAATTGGGGGTACCTTATTGTTGGGGTCCAAAACATAAGGGGAAAGCTACTATTTGGGGGCCTATATATGTCAGGGGTCCCCTATTTGCGTTAACCCCCCATATGCTTCCTAACAAGGAGACATCCTTTCCTACAGCACTGCAATGAGCGCCAGCGGCAAGTCTTCCCGCTGGCAGAATGCAGGCCGCCTGCTTGCGTGTTAAGCCGAAAATTGGCCCCAGGGGTTCCCTAAACCCCAAGGTTTAGGGTAGTTTCCTAGGGTTTAGGGTGTATGGTTTAGGGCTAAACCCTAAGAAACTATTGCTGGAGTGGAATCCCACAAGAAATGTTCCAAAGCTTTCTATAAATCCAAGAAGCGCCTAGACCTTACAGAAAACCCACACGATCCTAAGTTTATGGATCCTAGACCCTGTGACACGCTGCCCCGAAGCCCTATGTCTGAGCCTTACGCCGAGGTGATTTGCTTGCTTCTGCTGCGGCGCTGTGGGCACAGGTCAACCTCATCTCCTGCGACTCTGTGATCACGGCCTGTGGCTCCTCGACGGCCTAGAGTTTCCTCGTGTTTCGGCTGAACTCGGCGGGTCGTAAGCCCCTTGAAGGGCACTCAGGGTAGAGAAGGGGGTTTGGGGTTCAGGGTTACTGTTAGGATTTACAGGCAAATTTGGAGAGTCCATAGCCGAAATTCAACTCTCGACAGTGCTAGACGTAATGCGGCGATTCGGGAGACTCGTCAAGCGCCTCGAAGATCACAGCCTCGTAGTCGGCTTTGTTTCTCAAAGTTGATCTTTTTTGCCCTAATTACTTGAGAACATCGGGGGGCTTTGCAAGTTAGCAAGTAGAAGTTAGCAAGAAGCAGAAGCTGGTTGCACACTATTAGGAACGTGCTTGAAACTCTACTTGTACCTACTTACTTACCAAGTCCCCTGGATTCGGAAGCTAACCCTAAACCCTAAACCCTGAACCCTGTGGGGTTTCGACTGCATTGGAAGGAAATCGCGCGAAGTGGCGGCACTCGGCGCTCCTGTTCCGGGCCTCCGCGGACACAGGCCAGGGCCAGAACATCACGTTCGTTGATCAGCTAGTGCTATATGGTGACTTCTCCAAAATACGGTCCTTCTTGGGGTCCTTATTATACGGCGGCCCTCTTGTTCAAGGCCCCAACAGAGACCATACTTTTGAGAACTCATCCTATAACCCTAAGCCCTCAACCCCAACCCCTAAACCCTTGTAGAACCCTTTCTTACAAACCCTACACCAGAAATCCCAAGAGCTTAACCCCTGAACCCTCTGCCTCTACCAACACTGGACCCCAACCAGACCCCAAAGACTTCAACCCCAAACACTTGATAAAAGAATCCTACAGACAACACACTGAACCCCAAGCCCTAGACCCCCAACCCTAAACCAAAACCCTAAACCTTTTTTGGGGGTTTTGGGTTTTGAGTTTAGCGCTTGGGGAAGGTTAGGGTTTCCCTAAGCCCTAACCTTCCCTCCTTCCAAAACAAAAAAAACGACTGTAGGGCTCAGGGTTTTGGGTTTAGGGTTTAGGGTTTTGGGTTTGGGGTTTGGGGTTTGCGGTTTAGGTTTAGGGTTTAGGGTATGAAACCGATGCCGGCGAGGCCTCCGGCCAAATATCATCGCGCTGAACGCTGCGGCTGGGCTGCAGTTTGGGTCCGGGCTGTTGGCTACATACCACCCTTTTGAACCCCCCCCTTAAGGACCCTATAACCCTAAACCCAAAACCCAAAACCCAAAACCCAAAGCCCAAAACCCTAAACCCTAAACCCTAAACCCTAAACCCTAAACCCTAAACCCTAAACCCTAAACCCTAAACCCTAAACCCTAAACCCTAAACCCTAAACCCTAAACCTAACCCTAAACCCTAAACCCTAAACCCTAAACCCTAAACCCTAAACCCTAAACCCTAAACCCTAAACCCTAAACCCTAAACCCTAACCCTAAACCCTAAACCCTAAACCCTATAAATAGAGGGTTTTTGGGTTTTAAGGGTTCGGGTCGGCGTGCCAAGTCCCACCATGCTTGGAGTTATAAACCCTGTCAGGGTCTAGGGTTTAGGGTTGGGGTTTGGGTTCAGGGTTTAGGGTTTAGGGCTTCGGGTTTAGGGTTCGGGTTTAGGGTTCAGGGTTCAGGGTTCAGGGCCTAAACGCCCCAAGCCCTTTGAACCCAAACCCCGCATCTTTCCCACAAGCCCTAGACCCGAAACGTCCTGTGAAACCTAAGCCCTGAACACAGAAAACCATAAGCCCTGAGGAGCAGCCTTTTACTTTGTATAACCGCAGGCCTTCGGGTTCAGGGGTTCGGGTTTATGGCACTTACTGCTCACAAGTGGAGAAAAGTAGAGTTGCAGAGAAGCCCTTCATTCCTTGATCCGAAGTCCTAGGCCCAGTCTTAGCTCTAAACGCTCAAAGGGGGCCCGAAGGCCCCCATTATCCGAACGCCCCTGCAGTTGAGCATGCTTAACCTAAACCCTAAACCCTAAACCCTAAACCCTAAACCCTAAACCCTAAACCCTAAACCCTAAACCCTAAACCCCAAACCCTAAACCCTAAACCCTAAACCCTGGCCTTTCTTGTGCCGCTAGAAACAACCACACTTTAAGCCCGAAGCCCAAACACTCGCTTCACTTGCCTGCTTCCACAAACTTCCTCTCAGGGGCTTCCTTTCAAAACCCTGAACGTAGCGTCTGGGTTCGTGAAAACAGTAGTTGTGCCAGACTTGGGGCCTTGAAGGCTGTTGGGGGCTTCTCAGCGGCATAGACCTTATGCCTTAAGTTGCTACACCCTAGACCCTGAAGTAGACCCTATAACCTAAATTGCTAGATCCGAAACCCTAAAGAGCTAAGCCTCAGACGGTTTAGAGCCCTATACCCTCAATTGCTAAGCCCAAAAACCCAAATCCCCCTACTTGGGAAGCCCTTTTGACTTAGTAAGTGGGGTTAGTAGGTGTGTTATCGAGAGTACAAGCGGGACTCTAGGGCATACTAAGTATAGACTTACAAAGTCAACCCTAAACCCTAAACCCTAAGCCCTAAGCCCTAAGCCCTAAGCCCTAAGCCCTAAGCCCTAAACCCTCGACCTAAACCCTAAACGGTCCTAAACCCTAAACGGTCCTAAACCCTAAGTCCTAAACCCTAACCCCTAAACCCTAAACCCCAAGCCCTAAAACCCTAAACCCTAAACCCTAAACCCTAACCCCTAACCCCTAAACCCTAAACCCCAAGTACATGCAGGTCCTGAGCGCCTTCGCCCGCGCGGGGCGCTGGCGCTGGGCCCTCCGGAGCCTGGAGACCGGCGCCAGCGGCGCTGGAAGGCCCCAGCCAGGCGCCTCATAGGTTCAGGGTTTAGGGTTTAGGGTTTAGGGTTTAGGGTTTAGGGTTTAGGGTTTAATATAATGGAGCCTTAACAATCCGAAAAGGGTTGGGGGGGGGGGGTTTCTAGAGTCTAGTTGTAAGGGGACTACAGGCATTTTTATCAGTAATTTTTCCGACCCCTACATTAGGCTTTTCGGTTTTGTTGGATTTCGGGCTTAAGGGGTTGAGGGTTTTCCGGAAGGAGGGGCTTAGGGTTGAGGCGTTTGGGGTTTTGGGCTTCTTTTAGCTGATGTTCCGCGCGCACCACCACAAGGACTTGTGCTGTGGTGTCGCCCACCCACATCTCAGCCTTGACGGATTTAGGGCTTCTTCTCCAGCCATTGTAGTTTCTATATGCCCCTTCCAACCGACTGTTATGGGACATATTGGCACTCTCCCCAAAAGCCGGCGGTTCTCTGGAGCTGTTAAGGTTAAGCCCTACACCCTAAACCCTAAACCCTAAACCCTAAACCCTACACCCTCAACCCTAAACCCTAAACCCTAAACCCTCAACCTTAGCCGCCTAGTTGGCTTTCCAGGAAACATCTCCTACAACGCAGCCATCAGCGCCTGCGAGACAGGGTGCCTCCTGGCAGATTCCCGTGCCCAGATGAGCGAAAATGTCGCGCGAGGGTTTAGGGTTTAGGGTAAGGTTACGGGAGACATCCGAACATAGCTTGTACAAGCCCAACCCAACTATAAATTCACATGCAAGGACTGTTAGTATAATGGGGAACAGCCCAAAAAATGTGTGTCGTGCCTTTTCAGGTCTAGGGTTTCGGGCGGTTTTGAGAGCTCCCCCAACCCTAAACCCTGAACCCCAGACCCCAAACCCCAAACACCAAACACCAAACCACAAGCCCTACACCCCCCAGACTCTTTATCCCCAAGCCCTAAACCCTCAGCCCTAAACCCTAGATCCCGAGCCGTAAACCCTAAACCCTACACCCTGAACCCTAAACCCTAAACCCTAAACCCTAAACCCTAAACCCTAAACCCCAAACCTCAAACCCCAAACCCTAAACCCCAAACCCCAAACCCCGAACCCCAAACCCCGAACCCCAAACCCCAAACCCCAAACCCTAAACCCTAAACCCTAAACCCTAAACCCTAAACCCCAAACCCTAAACCCTAAACCCTAAACCCTAAACCCCTCCGCGCATGGGCAGGCGATCTTCGAAAGCACCCAGCGTGAGGAGGCGATGCAGCGGCCCAGGGTCCCAGAGTTAGGGTTTAGGGTTTAGGGTTTAGGGTTTAGGGTTTAGGGTTTAGGGTTTAGGGTTCAGGGTTCAGGGTTCAGGGTTTAGGTTTTTAGGGTTTAGGGTTTTAGGGTTTAGGGTTTGAGTGTTCCTGGCCTTAGGCTTTTAGTGTTTTGGGGTCTTAGGGTTTTGGGGTTCAGGGCTTAGGCTCGGGGAGAACCCTAAACCCCAAGTCCGAAGCCCTGAACCCTGAACCCTAAACATCTTTGGGGGGCACCTCTTGTTCGACCAGAACCCTTACGTGCCCGAAGCTCCTGAAGACCCGAATACCCCAAGGCTCTAAAGCCCAAGCAACTGCGGCAGGGTTTTGGGTGTAGGGGTGTGGGGTTTAGGGTTTAGGGTTTAGGGGGTAGGGGTTTAGGGTTTTGCGGTGTAGGGGTTTAGGGTTGAGGGTGGTGGTGGAAAATGATGGCGTGAGCCTCGAACCCTAAACTCGAAACCACGGAGAATGGTAGGGGCTCTTTGGGTTTAGGGGTTTTAGGTTTTAGGGTTTAGGGTTTAGGGTCCTTGCTCGCAACCCGGCCTCGTGTTGAGGGCTTCACCTTAAGGAAGAGGCGCTCGCGAGGGCTCCAGCTCAGGGTCTTCCGGTATTCCTGCCCTTTTGAACCGGTTCAGGGGTGTAGGGTTTAGGGGTTAGGGTTTAGGGTTTAGGGTTTGGGGTTTGGGGTTTGGGGTTTGGGGTTTGGGGTTTGGGGTTTAGGAATTCCCCCTAACCCTGATGGCAGAGAAGATCCTACGCTGCCCTGGGAAGCCCAGGTCCTGTGACCTGTTCTTGGCGGCGCTGACCTCAAGAATCGCAGCCGTAAGGGTTTAGGGTTTAGGGTTTAGGGTTTAGGGTTTAGGGTTTAGGGTTTAGGGTTTAGGAACAGGGTCCAGGGTATCGAGTGCATGGTGAGACATGTTAGAGAGGGCTTAGGGAACCATTGGTTTTTAGGGCTTAGGGCTCAGTTAGGCTTAACGAGGGCCGAGACTCAACCCAAACCCTGAACCCTAAGTCCTAAACCCCAAACCCCAAACCCTAAACCCCAAACCCCAAACCCTCAACCCATCACTGGAAAACTTGAAAGAGGTGGCGGTGGCAATTGGGGGAGTTCAACCCCAGCCCGGAACCCTGTAACGTGGGATGTTCCCCCTTATACCAACAGTCCTTAATGGGGATTTTAGTACCCCGTACTATAGGTGATCCAAAAGCTTTGAAAGCCCTTTCCTCTAACGCCCTAAATTTAGCCCCCCCCCCCCCCCCCCCCCAAGAGCCCTAAAAGCCCCAAGCCCCAATACGAATCCAAATCCAAAAGCCGATAAGGTTTAGGGTTTAGGGTTTAGGGTTTAGGGTTTAGGGTTTAGGTTTAGGGTTTAGGGTTTAGGGTTTAGGGTTTAGGGTTTAGGGTTTAGGGTTTAGGGTTTAGGGTTTAGGGTTTAGGTTAGGGTTTAGGGTTTAGGGTTTAGGGTTTAGGGTTTAGGGTTTAGGGTTTAGGGTTTAGGGTTTAGGGTTTAGGGTTTAGGGTTTAGGGTTTAGGGTTTAGGGTTTAGGCTTCTCCCAAAGCCCTTGCTCTAAGGTTGGAACCCTGGCCCTTAGCATGGCCCCATGCCCTTGTTTAAAAGGATTTTGGAGGGATCCGAAGTTATACAAGGGTTATACAAATTTAAGGAGGACCCAGACTTCGGATCCCCTACTTAGTCCGCCTGAACACCTTGAAGCCCTCAGCCCTTAACGCCCTGATCCCTAAACCCAAAACACTACACCCTCAAAGCCCACTTACAGCCGCAAGCCCTGGACCCCAAACCCCCTCCCCCACCCCCCAGAACCCCCGGCAAAATAAGATACAATACAAAACCAAGCTCCAAAACCTTAAACCCCCAAAACCCTAACCCCAAACCCTACTTCAGACCCCCCAAGGCCCTCTGCCCAGCTCACCCTGAGCTCCGAGGCTGGTGACAGCGACTGGATCCACGGCGTGTGCCCGACCTTGGCTTTGCTGTTTGTTTAAGGGGTTTAGGGTTTAGGGTTTAGGGTTTAGGGTTTAGGGTTTAGGGTTTAGGGTTTAGGGTTTAGGGTTTAGGGTCTAGGGTTCAGGGTTTAGGGCTTTTAGTGTTTCTAGGGTTTTTAGGGTTTAGGGTTTGGGGGTTTAGGGGTGTCGGGTTTGGGGTTGAGGGAGGGGTTTCGGGTTTAGGGTTTCGAAGTTTGGGAGTTTTGGGGTGTAGGGCTTAGGGTTTACTACACCCTAAATTAGGGTTTGGGGTTTGGGGTTTGGGGTTTAGGGGTGTAGGGTTTGGGGTTCCTTCTAGTTAAGGAGGGCGGGGTGGGGTTTTTGTTTAAGGAGGGTGGGGTTAGGTGTTTGGGGTCTAGGGGTAATCATAAGGTTTGGGGTTGTTTTGGCCTTGGGATTTTGGGGATGAGGGGGAGCTCCTTTTGTTTGGGGGGGGGGGGTCTAGGGGCTCTTTTCAAGGGATGGGTTTACGGTTTTTGAGGTGCAGGGATGTGGGCACAGGGTTTTAGGGTTTAGGGGTGCAGGGTTTAGGGCTCTTTTTGCTGAGGCCTGCTAAGGGAGGGGTTCAGGTTTTAGGCTTTCAGGGGCTTCTGCGGTGCAGGTGCTTCAGGAGTCGAGGGTTCAGGGATTCAGGGGTTCAGATGTTAAGGACTTCAAGGTGGCTTCAGGGCTCAAAAGCGGTATTCAGTGGGCGTTCCGGTTTATACCTTAAGGTCTAGTTTCATGGGCTCCCGTAAATAACCCACGCTCTCTACTACTACTACCCCCCCCCCCCCCGAGGAGGTTCCCCCCATAGTTAAGGCTATTTGGGGATCATGAAGCCTAGTTAAGGGTTATTTATGGTGGGAACCTAGTGGGGGTAGTATAGGGGAGGGGTAGTAGGGGAGCCCGCGATAGTTGTTCGAGGTGTGGGGACTTTGGTTTGAGAGCTTCGGGGGTGTAGGGTTTGAAGCCCTTAGCCCTTAACCCCTTGAAGCCCTAAGTCTTTGAAAGCACATTTTATCATGGGATCCCCTTATGGCTTATGGGTTTGGGGCAAGAGAGCATGAGTGCCACACCCTAAACCCCAGACCCTACTTGGGTTTTAGGGTTTAGGGTTTAGGGTTTAGGGTTTAGGGTTTATGGGTACTTATAACCACAGTTATAAGTCGACTCATGACCTACTTAGGGGACTTAAGGGGGTTATAAGTAGAGTTATAACTAGGCGAAGAGCACATACCCATGAACCTCCAAGTCGAACCCGCTTATGAGCCCTAAACCCTAAGAACCTGCCACCTGGCTTCGGTGCAGCTTTCTCGGGCTTTTTGTGGCGAAGCCCGGAACCCCAAACCCTAAACCCTAAACCCTAAACCCCAGCCCTAAACCCTAGCCCTAAACCCTAAACCCCTAAGCCACGCCGGATCCCTCTCATCCTCTATTGCCCCGAGTCCCCGATGAACCCGCAAAGATGCCCCCCCCCCCCCCCCCCCCCCCCCCCAAAAAAAAAACCCAAAAACCCTGACACGAAACCCCAAGCCAAATATAAAAGCCAAACTAAGCCTTAAACCCTAAGCCCTCAGCCCTAGGCCCTACACCCTGAACCCTAAACCCTGAACCCTAAACCCGAAACCCTGAACCCTAAACCCTAAACCCTAAACCCATAGCTTGTGGAAGCCATGGACCTCGCCGCCGCCGTGGGGGCCGCGGCCGCGGCGGCTGGAAACATTATCGGCCACCTGGCTTCTGTATTTTGTGGGTTTAGGGTTTAGGGTTTAGGGTTCGGGGTTTAGGGTTCGGGGTTTAGGGTTTAGGGTTGAGGGTTGAGGGTTGTAGTCGGGAATGAGGGAATGAGGGCCCTCGATATACCCTTTAAGGGATTCTATGGGTACCTCATTCCCTCATCCCCTACTAAGAGCCAGCCTTTTCTTATTGGCTTTGTGAGGTTCACGAGTCAGGGCTTGGTGAGGTTCAGGAGTTCTAGGGTTTAGGGTTTAGGGTTTTGTGAGGTTCAGGAGAAAGGGTACAGGGGTTCTTCAGGGTTAAGGGTTAGGGCTTTAGGGTTTAGGTTTAGGGTTTAGGGTTTAGGGTTTAGGGTTCAGGGTTTAGGGTTTAGGGTTTAGGGTTTAGGGTTTAGGCCCAGGCTTTAGGGTTTAAGGAGACCGTGCAGGAGGATTTACCAGATCCCCCTTGCAAAATGTTGTTTGAGTCGTGGAGGTTTGTCGGGTGGCTTTCGCTAGGAAGCCCGGTGGCAAGCGCCTAGACCCTAGACCCGAACCCTAAACCCCAAACCCTAAACTCTAACTAAACCCCAAACACAAACCCAAACCCTTTTGAATCCTGAGACTCCCTACAAGCCCTTATAGGCCCGAAACCCTGAGGGCTTCAACGGAGTTTAGTGCCGGGATGGACTGGTTTGGCGACTCGAACTTAGGGTTTCGGGTTTGGGTTTAGGGTTTAGGGTTTAACTTAGGGTTTAGGGTTTCGGGTTTTAACTTAGGGTTTAGGGTTTAGGGTTTAGGGTTTAGGGGTTCAGGATATAGCATACGTTTGTTGTGTTCTTGGGGGCTAATGGTTAAGGGCTTGCTGCTGAACCACCAATACCCTCAACCCCCTAGAAATAGGGTTTAGGGATGTTTAGGGTTTAGGGATGTTTAGGGTTTAGGGTTTAGGGTTTAGGGTTTTGGGTTTAGTGTCCAAAAAACTCCCAAGCCCTATTCAAACCCAAGCCCTAATCCCCAACCCCCTCCCAAAACCAACCCGGACCCCTTCCAATTCCGCTGACAGGCCTAAACGCCGCCGCGGAAAGCTGAATAAAGCCCCCAGCACCTCCCGCTCTAAACCCCAAACCCCAAACCCTAAGCCCGGACGCCAGACCCTGAAGCCCAAACCCCAAAAACTTCAGAGTTTAGGGTTTCGGAACCCAAAAGCCCGAAAGCCCCAAGCCTTCAAAAAGCAGCGTCGGAGTTGCCAAGGCTACAACCGAAGCAACTTCTTTCAGAACTTGCGCCTTGCCAAAAGGGGGTTTTTAGGGGTTTAGGGTTTAGGGTTTAGGGGTTTAGGGTTTAGGGTTTAGGGGTTTAGGGTTTAGGGTTTAGGGGTTTAGGGTTTAGGGTTTTCGCGAGGGTTTTCAGGGTTTTGGGGTTTAGGGGCTTTCGGGGTTTAGGGTTTTCGGTGTTAGGTTTCAGGGTTTCGGGGCCAGGCCCGCTTCAAATGAGTAAGTAAAGTTCGTTTGGCCTTGTACCGCTTAGATGGGGACGCCTGAAAAACCCCTTAGCCGTTATATACCCTAAAACCCAAGGGCCCATACTTTAGAACCCCTCAAAGCTAAACCCTAAACCCTAAGCCCTAAACCCTAAACCCTAAACCCTAAACCCTAAACCCTAAACCCTAAACCCTAAACCCTAAACCCTAAACCCTAAACCCTAAACCCCCAAACCCTATCTTTTGCGGTTTAGAGTTGTCAGCGTTTCTTTAGGGTGAAATGCCTCCTGGCCGGGGAAGAAAGCCCACGAGGCTCAGCTCTGTGAAGCTCGGTGCCCAATACGGCCTGGGCCTGCCTGAACGGGTGGGTTTAGGGTTTAGGGTTTAGGGTTTAGGGTTTAGGGTTTAGGGTTTAGGGTTTAGGGTTTAGGGTTAGGGTTTAGGGTTTAGGGTTTAGGGTTTAGGGTTTAGGGTTTAGGGTTTAGGGCCATTCACATTTGGAGCGAGACGCGTCTCCCGCAGGTGCCAGAGGTACTCCGGTGGGTACTTGGAGTCAAACTTCTCCTGGCAAGTGGTCAACCGGTCCCTAAACCCTAATCCTGTATACCCTAAACCCCCGAACCCTCAACCCTCGCCAAAGAAAGCCGCTGTGGAGGCTTCCCCAACCCTAACCCTACACCCTCAGCGCTAACCCTGCACGCTAAACACTCAACCTTATTCGGGTTCAGGGTTTAGGGCTTAGGGCTTAGGGTTTGAGAATTTCAGGTTTGGGAGTTTCAGCAGGAGCACACAGTGTGAAAGGTCGTGAAAGGTTCATGCCCTTCAGCCCTCTACGCAAGCCCTGAACCTTCAGCTGCATCTGCACGCCCGGCGGGCCGAGGGACGAAGGGCCTCTGTAGGATTTAGGGTTTCGGGTCTAGTTTTGCGGGTTTCTTGCTTCGGGTCTTGGGCTAGAAATACTCAGACGCTAGTCTTTAGGGCCCCCATCCCCCCCCCTAAAAGGGATCTGTTTTGGGGCATTTTGGTAGGTTTCCATGTTGATGTTGGGGGGGAGGGGGGGGGGGGAATGGGGGGTGAAAGACCTGAAGCCTATAAATATACCCAAACCTGATCATGGCCGTAAAGCAGGGTATATAGCCTTAGAGCTCTCTGTTTCAGGTTAGGGGGGGAACATAAAGGGGTGTGTGACACCCTAAACCCTAAACCCTAAACCACCCTAAACCACCCTAAACCACCCTAAACCACCCTAAACCACCCTAAACCCTAAACCCTAAACCCTAAACCCTAAACCCTACACCCTATAAACCCTAAACCTTCTGACCCAAGGAACCTGCAGCAGAGCCGACAGTTTCGGCGCCAGCACATCGTCACCGCTCAGGCCCGCAAAGAGGCTTTCTCCGGTTCAGGGTTTAGGGTTTAGGGTTTAGGTTTAGGGTTTAGGGCCCTAAAGCTCTCCCAAATCCTATACTATTCTTTAAAGGGACGAAAAGAGGGGGGACCCTTGTAAGAGACCTTAAATCTGAGCCCTGGCCCCTAAACCCTTAACCCTAAAGGCCCTAAACCCTAGTCTCTGATTAAACCCTTAAACCCTTAAACCCTTAAACCCTTAAACCCTTAAACCCTTAAACCCTTAAACCCTTAAACCCTTAAACCCTTAAACCCTTAAACCCTTAAACCCTTAAACCCTTAAACCCTTAAACCCTTAAACCCTTAAACCCTCAAACCCTCAAACCCTCAAACCCTTAAACCCTTAAACCCTTAAACCCTTAAACCCTTAAACCCTCAAGCC